CTTTAGAGCCAGAAGGGAGAGCTTTAGGTTCCTTTTACCATATTCCAAGCTCTCCTACTGATTTTTTATGTAAAGCTTGTATGCAGAAGTGGACAGCTCAAGCTTACATTTATACAAACACGTGGGTGATCCATGAATAATCAGTCAACCAGATCTGAATATTCAGTGAAATGATGAACTGTGGCTTTAATCAGGCATTGTTTGCTGTGCTATCACTTTAGCTAACCCACTGTGGGAATTGCTATTCATTTATTAGACATTAACTTGTAAAAAAAAAAAAAAAAGTGTAATAATGCCTAGGCGATCGCAGCGGAAGTGGAAACCTGTCAAATTGGGTACCCGCTCCCCAAAGGTGCTAATCCTTACTGGGGAGTGGGGGGACAAAGCATTAAAGCAGAACTTCCCCTTTTTGAATGGAGCTCCGCTTTAAAACTACAGAGAGCACAGGGTGGGAAGGCAAGATAGTTATAGTCAAGCAATTCATTAAATTCAGAAGATAATTTATTAGAAGTCTAATATCTACCTGTTCATAGACCTGAACCATTGACCCTGCTAACTGGTGAATCTTTGACAGAGAGCTCACACAACTGGATGTTTCTTCAGATTCTTATGAAGAACTGGCTCTAAATAGGAACTAACAAATTGTCTGTAGTTGGTCCCTTTCAGGATAGCTGCAATAAATTAACAATCATAAATTAATAGCAGTATCTACTTTCCTCACAAGAACAAAATCTCACTTCAGTTTTGCTATATAAATCATTTAAAAAGTCAGTTAATAATCAAATATCTATGAGCAATCTGTGATCTCTGCATAAACTCCCAGGTGGACCGTTATCAGAGTGTAAATCAATAGGCTAGAGCAAATTTTTGCTAATCTTTCTTTGAGTTACTCAGGAACTTGTGACGTCCATGTGCAAAGGACCAAAACTGTGTGTAAAGACCTGAGTAATGCTGAATATAGGCCAGCAAAGGTATGTAAGCATTTAGACGAGTATAGACAAGTGAAATTCTTCTTCATTCCTAGTATTGTAATATACTCATATATACTCGCGTAAACATTATAAACGAGTAAACACACACGAGTCATTTACTGCATTAAAATTAAACATTTTCTATTTTTGTTTTACTGCTGTGTACTTAATGCTGTATTACTGATCTTTATTCAGGTGTGTGCAATGACCCATAGACAACAATGAATCTCATTTCAGATCAGTAAAAAAAACTAAATTTTTTACTCCCGTGTGCAACAGGCCTAACTATTATGAAACCTTATGCTGCTAGCATTAGTAAATAGAATGCCCTCCTACCAACATGCTACATGAATCCTCTGCCACTACTCAAAATGTCTGCAGATAGAAATGCTAGGAGGTGCTTTTTAAAGGGATTTCTTTACAATATAAATCATGGAGACATTAATTAAAAAGTGTTTTCTGTTAGTGGTGCTCAGATACAGCTAAATTCCACTTTAATAAGATTACATAAGATCTGTGTTTTAAGAACAAGAGACACATGAAGCATACAGAGGAAACACTGGTACCTTTTATTAACCTCCTCTACAAGTTTAAAGCAGCCACACTGAGAATGTACTTCACTGCTTTTTTAATAGAGCATTGCGTGTGTATATAAGTGGTACTAAAATAAAAAGGCAAACTAAAATATGTAGATTATTTTTGTAAATGTTTTAGTAATTAAATATGTTTAAAAAAAAATAACATAGCTAAAATGTAATAGTGTCAGCCTCCAAAGACATTTGTGCATCATTTGCGGACAGTGAATGGGATCAAGACCTTCCAGCAATTAAAGGGTTTACTCTTCCCAATTCTATGTTATTTTGTTTTCTTTCAAATATGTCACATGCTTAGGGCAAAAATTCCTAGTGATAATTTTGTCCCTACTACTTTTTCCATATTAGAGATGGTCTGTGGTTTCCCCCCCCCTCCAAGCTGATCTCTCTCTTTCTGTATAATACTCTTTACCCCTTAACCACTTCAAGTCCGGACACTTTTACCCCCCTTCCTGTCCAGGCCAATTTTCAGATTTCAGCGCTGTCACACTTTGAATTGCGCGGTCATGCAACACTGTACCCATACTTTATTTTGGTGGTATTTATTCACCACTGGGATTTTTTTTTTTTTTTGCTATATAAATGTTTTTAAAAAAGTGTTTTTGTTATAAAATTTTGCAAATAAATAATCTTTCTTCATAAATTTTAGTAAAAAAAAAATAACCCAAATTAGTTTATAACCAAAAAAATTATAATTTTTCAAAAATGTTTTATATTATTATTTATGTGGTTTTTTTTATAATAACATACTGTCACCCTAGCAGTAGAGTGTCACCATAGTGACACTGTACTACTTGTGGGGGATGATGAAGATTTTTTTTTTTTTTTTTTTTTTATTTTACATGACACCCGATTGCTTTTACACCCATAAAAGGCTGTAAAAGCAATCATTTCTCTTTCTCTCTGGCTGCATTCTTGCAGCCATTGATTACATAGTGTGAGAGCTGTGATTGGTCACAGCTAGTCACATGGTACAAGGCTGTTGTGAATAGCATTGTACCATGTGATCTCTGTGATCATTCACAGATTTCACTAGTGGTAAGCAATGTCAGGAAGTGACATCTTGCTTACTACTACTCATGTGATCACTGATTGGCCAATCAGTGATCACAGGATCGGGACCTCACACAGAGGGCCCGTACAGCGATCAGTGTCCTCCGGACACAGCAGGCACCTGATCGCAGTGCCACGCGCTCCCAGGCTAAAATGGCGGGCGCTGTTTATGAACAGCAACCCGCTCCTGCACTGCTCCCGTCCGGGCCGTTTATATACATGTGCCGGATGGGAAGTGGTTAAGCGATTGTGCTGGCCTACCAACCCAAACATAAGTGGGATGGGGATATTAGGGCTATGAAAGATGAGGACTGGGATGAAAACCTGTAGACCGGATAAGACTAAGTTATTTGATAGGCTTACACTGTTATATACATTATAACAGCGTAAGCCCATTATTAGGACACCCGTCAAAATCATTGGATTCAGGTGTTCCAATCACCTCCATGGACACAGGTGTGTAAAATCAAGCACCTAGGCATGCAGACTGCTTCTACAAACATTTGTGAAAGAACGGGCCTTCTCTCAGGAGCTCAGTGAATTCAAGTGTGGTACTGTGCTAGGTTGCTACCTGTGCAATAAGTTCCTCTGTGAAATTTCCTTGCTACTAAATAATCCACGGCTAACTGTTAGTGGTATTATAACAAAGTGGAAGCAACTGGGAACAACAGCAACTCAGCCATAAAGTGGTAGGCCAAGTAAAGTGACAGAGCGGGGTCAGACCATGCTGAAGCGCACAGTGCACAGAAACCGCCAACTATCTGCAGAGTCAAGAGCTAAAGACCTTTGAACTTCGTGTGGCCTTCAAATTAGCACAACAGTGCATAGAGAGCTTCATGGAATGGGTTTCCATGGCCGAGCAACTGCATCCAAGCCTTATATCTCCAAGTGCAATGCAAAGTGTCAGATGAAGTGGTGTAAAGCATTCTTCCACTGGACTCTAGAGCAGTGGAGACATGTTCTCTGGAGTGGCGAATCCCGCTTGTCTGTCTGGCAATCCGATGGACATGTCTGGGTTTTGTGGTTGTCAAGAGAATGGTACTTGCATGACTGCATTATACCAAATGCAATGGTGGAGGGGAGATTATGGTGTGGGGCTGTTTTTTCTGGGGTTGGGCTTGGTCCCTTAGTTCCAGTGAAGGGAATTCTTAAGGTGTCAGCATACCAAGACATTTTGGACAATTTCATGCTCCCAACTTTGTGGGAACAGTTTGGGGGATGGCCCCTTCCTGTTCCAACATGACTGTGCACCAGTGCACAAAGGAAGGTCCATACATGGACATGGATGAGCGAACCTGGGGTGGAGGAACTTTACTAGCCTGCAGAGTCCTGACCTCAACCCGAAAGAACACCTTTGGGATGAATTAGAGTGGAGACTGTGAGCCAGTTAAGTTCATGTGTGTGTAAAGGCAGGCATTACTTTTGGCAATATAGTGTATCTTGCACAAGTCCTATTTAACACCTATACATTTTTCCACATTTAGGCCTAATCACAGTCTCTTTTTTTTTCCAGGTGCTCCAGGCATGTTTAAATGTTTACTCTGGGCATGCCCTTTATTTCAAGGCTACTGGCAGCAAAATATACTCTCCAGTCTCTCCAATCTCCATGAACCCAAAGTATTTGTCTTTTGGGTTTAGAAATGGATAAATGCACTATTGCCTTCATGAAACTTCATTTGCTGCTTGCAAGCAGACTGGACGTACCTGTATTCAAGCCATTCCACTGACTCTGGAATCGTGGTTTCTGCACATTAATGCCAACATTTCTTATAAAAAGAAAAACTCATATGTTCATCAAGGCTGTTCTACCACATTATCACCTATTACAGAAGATTTTGGATATGTGGATGGATTAATCAGATACCTGCAACCTGGGCTTTCCTCCCAATACCCCAGTACACCAGTTGACTGAGAGACCTTGTTGCTTCAAAATTCTTAGTCTACCTTACTGTCATGTTATAATAGTGATGTGTAACGCTACAGTATATTACTGATAATATGCCCCTTTATTTCTTGCGGAGCTTGGTTGTCGTGTAGAGCACTGTGTAATCTGTTAATTGCTGTATTGTAATTTCCTTTTTTTTTTTTTGGTTGAACTGGTTGGACTTTTGTCTTTTTTCAGACAGACAGACTAACTATGTAAATGTTCCTGCATGAGGGGGTCCCCACCCCCTCACTTTTTCTAATTTTTTCTTCTGTATACCATCTCTTTGCCTTTTGCTACCTCAAAAAAATTGTTTTTGTAGATAAGAAAATGTAGCTGTCTCTGCAAAGGGTCAAATCAAAGCTAAAATACGGTATGTGGAATACTACGAGAATAATATACTCACTCTATTGCACAAATACGGACCACAGAAGTTAATCTGGTTGTCAGTTTATGTCTCCCAATAGTGCCACCGGCAGACATGGATGCCACGATCTGAATATTTTCTAAGCCAACCCATTCAAGATTGTCATCATAGAAACCATGATATGTTAAAACCTAAAACAACACCACAACATATATAATAGGTTTAAAGTGACATTAAAGACAACTTTTTTTTTATAAAAGAAATAACAAACATGTTTACCTGCAATGGTTTTGCACAGAGCAGCCCTGATTCTTCTCTTCTCACGTCCCCTGCCGGCACTTCTAGCCCCTCCCTCCTGCCCCCAGAGAAAGCAGCTTGCTATGGAAGCACCCATGCCAGCTCACTCCTGAGCTGCTGCTCTGCATGTCCATTCACACACACAGAGTCACAGCTCGGCCCTGCCCCCTTTCTCTTATTGGCTCACGAGAGCCGAGGCTCTCGTGCACATTGCTGGGTCGTGATAGGGTTCGGGTAAGTATTAGGGGGGTTGGGGTGCTGCTGCATACAAAGTTTTTGACCTTGCCATGCATAGAATTACATGAATGTAAAAATCCTTTAGCCTTTAGAACCCCTTTAAGTCATTAGTAGGATCCAAATATGTTTCTTGAACAAACTAGAACATGACAATCCTAATGAATATACTAAAACAAGAGCATTTTTCTCCCAGAAACCTTTTGGAAATCCAAACCACCAAAAGGAACACTGAAGCCATATAGCCATCTGAAACAATGAGATTCTGTCTGAATTTAACATCATGTGAAATTGGGGGTCAACTCTATCAACTCATAACCAATGACACATTTCCAAAACAGGCTTTCATTTGATTGCTGGCTATGAGAAACACCTAATACTAGGATTATTTTTTAAACCAGGAGGGTGCTCCAACATCACAAAGAGGCATTTTAAGTTATCCAGATTACCAATAAGATAATGTAGTTTCCAGAGTGTCAAGGGATTTATAACATAAATCTATACATCAGTTCCTGAAGCCAAGCTCTTGTCCATCTCCCCCAACAAATTACATCTAGTCAATGAGGATTCCCATCACAGAAATGGACCAACAAGAGTTAAAAAGGGGTACATTGTTTAATAAACAAAGAGGGGGCAAGCTATTCCTAATATAAGCTTGCAAAATATTTAGCTCTACATTAACACAGTCATACAGTATGTCTGTATGAATAATGCTGTTAGGCTAACACAGAATGAGCACCTGTGTTTTACTCCAGCTGAAAGAATTGCCGGGTACATTGCTTTAATTTTATATCTTCGGTCTTCATTTAGAAAATAAGAAACAACTTTGGACCATTGGCATACTTTGTTTTCCTATAAGACACTAAGCACACTGGTGCGATGTCATTCAATTTGACATTCGGCAATGGAACCATTCAAATCTGTGTGACTTTGCAGTGCCGCACCTGAAATCGCACTGACCTGCGGCTTTGAAATCATGCGACTTCACTTAATTTTAAAGTTGGATTCAGTGTGAACCCGGGCTGCATACTACCTATATATGGTATATAACTCATAACAGAGAAGTGTTTGGAGTGTGCAAAGTGTTCTAGGCAAGGCTAATACCCACTGATCTGAAAAGTACCCCAATAAATAAGAAGCATACAGATTTGTATACAGCCAGGCTTTGTTCAGTTCAGTGACTGGTAAAAAGTCCGGATTCTCGTTATTGGGGCTCTGTTAGAGGAATTTTCCCTCACTTACTATCATGAAAACAATAGCTCCACCAGACAGAAAATGAGGGAAAATCTGCAGCTTGAACACATCAATAGCACAAAGGTAGACAAAGGTTTCAGCTTTCCCAGATTCTGCTAAATGTTAGAGATTTACCTGTCTGGTGAAACCATTGCCGCTGGGACAGTAAGTAAGGGAGAATCTCTCTAACGGAGCCTTGGATAACAGTAAAAACACAACAGAGGTTCTAATCCTTCCCCACTCTTTACAGAACTAAACAAAAGTTTCAACAGGAATTGCAACTTAGGCTTTTACATTTTAGGGACAACTCTGATTTTTTCACAAACTTATTTATGTAATTTTCCATCCTCTTATCTGATCCTAATAGGGCTGCATGAATAGTAGCCTGGACTACTCAGACCAGATTTCGGTTTGCCTTTTCATAAAATATGGTCTGTAATCATAATGGAGGAACTCTCAAGAAAAATAATATGGGAAGTACAATTCAATTCCTCCATTTTCATTCTAGATTAACAGTGAACACCTTCAATTGAAGCCTCCCAGTCAGGTGTTCACACCACCTCACCTGCTATTTTCTGGGCTACTATTGGCATTGCTCCATGTTTATGTGATTAACTTAACACCTGATTATAATATCTTCCTCACCTGTTGTAAAAATGCTACCAGTGAGTTTGTCCCCCACTTGTCAGGTTTGGGGAGATTGATGTCCTTTAAGTAGAGAACAAGCCGTTCACAGTCTTTTGGCCTGTAGACTCGACCAGTGTTGGTGCTGATTACCAGGCAGGTCTGTGTCAGTTTCTGTAAGACATGGCGGGAAGACGTCTGAGCGCTGCAGTGAACCGTGGCGATTTGCGTGGAGCGGAGCTGAGAAAATGCATAACGAAGAAGCATTCTGAAAAGAACAATTGCAGTATAATTTATTATGAGGAAAGCACAACTGCAAGGCACCACAACACAAATAATTTTGTTTTCAAAATAGGCGTTGTTACTAAAAATAAAAAATTACTAAATATAAATATGACCAAAAGCCATGCGACCTACTTTCCTTGCAAAAAGGAAACCAACTAATATGCAAAACCTCACAAATAGTGCATCTGCCTTCCCCAACTCTTTAGAATGTGAAAACTTTACAGCGCAATATGCCTATCCAAATAACTATAATAAATAAATGAAAATAAAAATAAAATATTTCAGCTAACATATACAGTGTTCCCACATACAAATACTAATATACAAAAAATGCAGCGCAATATTATAAATAAATATTAAATATGCATAAATCTTGCTCTGTGACAATAATTAAATACCATATAAGTGCATATTCTGTGCTCAAAAAGTATAGCTTTAAATACAACACAATAACGCACACTTCCACATAATACCATGCGTATTCTCAATTTTATCTAATGTGCGTTTATCTTATAATAGTGTCCCAATATAAATCTTGGTGAACCGTCCCTTTAAGACTCAGTGTTCCAAGTGCTAATGTGCAATTTCTTCTCTGTATATATTCATCCAGTGATGTCAAGTGACCCCCAGTGTTAGATCCACCTCCGACACACTTATGCGCTCACCTTGTGGTTTGACCCGAACTGTCAGGTCAAACCGCGCCTTTCCCTTTAACCCGGGTAGGTATACTGGTGTATCAATCTCCAACTCTGATGACGTCAAGCCGTAACCGGTAGTGTACATAACGCCATCTTGGATAGGGGATCCTATGCAGTTTCATTCACAAAATTACTATACAAAGAGATATTGATCCTGTAGCGTCCCAGAAGGACGCAAATAAATGTGAGTGGGAGATTTTAGGAGTTTTAATAAAGTTTACAATGATTTGATATACTTCACCATCTGGAGCATTTTTTTCCATTTTCTGTGGTGCGTTTTGGAGTGTGGAGGAGTTGGATATATACACCAGCAAAGGGAAAGGCACGCTTTTGACCTGGCAGTTCGGGTCAACGTCCAAGTGGTGCGTTTTGGAGTTTGGAGGTGCAGAAGGAGTTTGAGATTGATACACCAGTATACCCACCCGGGTTAAAGGGAAAGGCGCGGTTTGACCTGACGGTTCGGGTCAAACCACAAGGTGAGCGCATAAGTGTGTCGGAGGTGGATCTAACACTTCCCCGACTCTTGCTTATTAAACTGATTTAAGTTAATCTCAGCATCAACATCTTAGCATCTAAATTTCAGGGCAATACTTAATTTTTGTAAACATGGCCAATTTAAATTATCTTGCAGTGTCCAATTACATCAGCATTTTTCTCAACCGGGGTTCCAAGGTGATCTACCCATCAATCACAGACAGCAGACAGGTACATCTAGTCTCAGCAAACATATGCAGAGTAGTGCTGGAAAGGGCAATAATAAGACCTCTCTCATAAAGCGATCCTTAACACTGGCCCCTCCTTTCCTCCCATCCACCCCAGATGCTTGTAGGTGACATCATCTGGGGTGGATGGGAGGAAAGGAGGGGCCAGCGGGAAGGATAGCGCTATGAGAGAGGAATTATTAATGCTTCCCACTACTCTGCATTTGAAGGAAACAGTCTACAACAGTGTACCCTGTTCCCTTTTGTGTGCCCTGTACCCTGATGTTTGCCCTATACCCTGCTGTGAGCCTTGAGATATACCCTGCTGTGTGCCCCATGCCCTGCTGTGAGCCCCTTGATGTGCCCCATATTCTGCTGTGTGCCCTGTGATTTACCCCATGTTTTGCTGTGTGCCCCATGATGTGCCCTATGTTCTGCTGTGTGCCCTGTGATGTACCCCATGTTTAATATTTTTTTTTTCTATTATTTAATGCCATTTCCTAAAATAAATTGTTGTTATATCACAGTTCGATGATCAATGTTCTGTGAGCTGTAGGTTCCCCAAGATCCCAGACTTTTTGCCAGGGGTTCCACAAAAGGTAAAAAGGTTGAGAAACACTGGATTACAGAGTAATGCGAAGAATTCTCGCATTTATGCTGCTTTGAGATATAGAATCAAATATTAAAACAAGGGTTATCATAAATACTAACTTTCAATCTGAACTATAACACTGCTGCTGTTGAGAAGGAAAATCACACTTACCCCTTCCCGCAGCCCTCTGGTCCAACCAGTATAAAGGGCTGTTTGGTGTCAGAGCCAAGCCATGGTCTGAAGTAGTCAAGCCCTCTCTGGATGTCAGGGTTCTGATAACTGGAAGGGCCTGAGGATTACTAAAATCTTCAATAGTTAAGTTATCTGGTTTTTTTCCAGGTTGTAGGACATTAAGCGTCCAGTTTTATTGTCATAATAGGTTTTCCAGTGGTTTACGTGGATCAGGTGGAGATTCCCTAGCCCAGTTGAAAACCTAGAGCAAAATAAGAAAATAAACAAACAGGCCCCACGTGATAAAAAGAATTGAGAACTAACTACTAAAATAAATAAATAAACATAGGGCCTAATATAAACTGGCTTTGAGTCATGAAAAAAACATGTGGATCAAATTGGCAAGTTTGTATCCAGAATAAAAGCCAATATTGGTTTTTTAATTGAGAAAGATGATACATCTTGTGTCTTATTCCAGCAATTTTAGTAGAATTACATGACTTTGCCTTTTAAGGGGCAATACAAATTGCTGAAAAAGACCTTGGAAGAAATTTTGATTAGTTGAGTACATTTTTGACAGATAAAGCCATTCTCCCACTGTTCCTGACCCCCAGGGAAAAGCTAGACACTATGGACTATGAGCAAACAGTTACCAAATATCATTTTATAGACCGATTATAAAAGGTGACTTTGACAATGTTTTTAATGTTTTAGGCCTTATTTTAAAGTCTTTGATGAAGAATCACGTAAAAATGTAACAGATTTAAAAACGGTTACATGATAGCAGACCTGACATGTTACACATGACATAAATTCATGTAGGTTTTGGTTAACTACCTCTTTAGCAAAATCATTCCTAGACTTCATATTGAGATTTCCTCCGAGGCCTCGGATAAGACCGATAATGAACTCACTGCGATCAGTACAGCCATGAAGGTGAGACAATCCATTCATAACTGTTCCTATGAGACTGGTTTCCACTACAAAATCATTCTGTGGACGAGACATTAGAGAAATTAAAGTTTTTGTCAAGGGTGGTGGGGGGGGGGGGGGGGGGGGGGGGGGGGGGGGGACACACATTACAAGCACATTCTTTGTTTAAAATACCTTTTCCTTTAGAAATCCAGAGAGCAACTAAATCCTCTTTATTTACTGACAACACTGCATATGTTGCTCTAAAATCCAAACTGCGCGTGAGCCAAATACAAACAATTTTGTTTAGAGTAAGGGAAGATGTAGTTCTGGGGGTTTGCCTACGTCAACAGGGACTGATATAAGGAATTCTGCTAATCCCTTTCCAAGTAGCTGTCCCTGCAAGAATATTGCACATCTGGTGATGATGTCACGCAGAGTATCAAAATTTGTTTCTTGCTACAGAGCTAGGTGAAAGACAATGAATGCTTGGCTGTGCACAGGATAGGCAAAGGAAAGCTTGATTTCCCTGAATTAGACCTACACAGCTATAAAGTATAAAAAATGGGATGGCGGCAAAAACTTTGAGTGTGCGTGTATATATATATATATATATATATATATAGATAGATAGATAGATATACACACATATACATACACACAATATATACACTCACTGGCCATTTAATAGGTACTCCTTGTTAGTACCGGGTTAAACCCTCTGTAGCCTTCAGAACTGCCTTTTTTCTTCATGGCATAGATTCAACAAAGTGTTGGAAACATTCCTCAGAGATTTTGTTCCATATTTATTTTAGGTACTTCTATAACGGTGACAATTTACGCAGCGCTTTACATATATACCGTACATTCACATCAGTCCCTAAAGCTGGCCATACATGTATATATTTTTGTTCGGGAATTTTCGTTTCAAGAATATTCGCTTGATTTTCTAATCATTAGTGGGGTCAAATCAATGTTCATTTTTGACAGCAGTGATGGGAAAATTCGAAGGGGGAGGAAGGAAAACTTTTCTTGATCAAATTTTCAATCAGTGTATGTGGTTATAATCAAAACTTACATTCCTTTTAAAGTCGAATGATAAAAGCAAAAGACAATTTTCGAATGACAATAGTCCATTCATCAAATGTTCAAAGAATTTTTGTATGACATTTCTTGCAAATATTCTCGTCCGAAAAATCTACACTTGTATGGCCAGCTTAACCCTCAAGGGGTGGTACAATCTAAGGTCCCTAACTTACATTTATACATACACACACACACACATACTAGGGCCAATTTAGACAGGATACAATTAACCTACCAGCATGTCTTTGGAGCGTGGTAGGAAACCGGAGTACCCAGAGAAAACCCATGCAGGCACTGTGCTTGACATAACATCACGCAGTTGCTGCAGATTTGTTGGCTGCACATCCATGATGCAAATCTCCCTTTCCACTACATCCCAAAGGTGCTCTACTGGATTGAGATCTGGTGACTGTGGAGGTCACTGGAGTACAATGGACTGATTGTCATGTTCAAGAAACCAGTTTGAGATGATTTGAGCTTTGTGACATGGTGCATTATCCTGCTGGAAGTATCCACAAGTGTACCTAATAAAGAGGCCAGTGAGTGTATACGTTCGTTGGGGGGTTCTTTAGCAGGAAATAGTGCTTAGTGAACAACAACTAACCTAGAATATAATCCAGTGTTAAGAGTAGAAGGCCAAATGTTTAACAGCACGACTCTTTTGGGAGGGCTTTCCCCAAGGTGTTTTAGTACATTTGTGGGAATCTGTCAAATTTGCCAAAAGAGATTTTGTGAGGTTAGGTATTGATGTTGGCTGAGAAGACCTGGCTTGCAAACAGCGTTCCAATTCACCCCAAAGGTGTTCAACAAATCTAAGATCTCTGCAGGACACTCAAGTTTCACCACACAAAACTAGTCAATGTAGTTGACTTTATGCAAAGCGGCACAGTCATGCTGGAACAGAAAAGAGCACTTCCCAAGATGTGGCAAAACAGAAGAGCACAATTATCTAAAATTTCTATGTATGCTGTGACATAAACAGTATTATCCATGCAATTATCTAAAAGAGTGTCAACATACCTTTGACTTATTGTGTAGGTGTGATGGTCAGATGTCCACAAACCTTTGGCAATGCTGTGTTTGTTAGCATAGCATTTATCCAAAAGAATAATCATTTTAATGCAAACTGCAAAGTCTACTGTACAACACTATTTAACATATCATAGAACCGCAAAATGTATGGCTTCTGGCAAAAAATCTCATTAACTCCAGAGTTTCACCTCCAACCAATCTCAGTTCTATCAGAAGTTTTCAAACTTCAGAAATCACCTTTTTGTACTATCTATGAGGGAAGTGCTGACTGTTAATTTGGAGGCAGTACATGATATACAGAGACAGTAATAAAAGCCTCAGCAGGCAAGAGCTGCTCATTTCATTACAATATTACGGTTTTGAAACATAAAGTTCCGCTTATTTTTTTCCCGCTCGTACACATGCCTGGAATGGATCACACTATGTAATTCAGTCAGTGCCCCAAGCACAGAACACATCAAACTCTAGTATTTCATTCCTCTGCTGCCAACAGGGAATGTAATATACTGCTGATGGCCCAGAAAAAGATATAAAAATGTAGAACAGCACATATTACTCACTAATGTACCTGTTTAAGAACCCAATTTAATGCCTTCTCAAAATAATCTCCAATCCAGTTCTCCAAATTATGTCTGTGTGCTTCTGGCTGTCCCCGAAGCCAGGAATGGATCAAAGAGTTCAAATCAGTGTTCTCGTCGCTACAGAAGAAAATCATATAAAGTTATTTCAAGAAAAGCAATAATGGATGATCAAAGGTGCTCTTGGTAGAGTGCAAGTTTGATTACCTCATGAAAATCATTCCCATTCTAGATATGGTTGCTGGAGAGGCACTGCTCAGATCATGTGTTTCAAAAATAAAGTTTACATTGGGACCAAACTGGATTCGTTCTCCACTTGGCATTGTGAGGAGCCGGTTATCGTCAAGTACAGAATTTAGAGACTCAATCCATTCTGGGTCAATATCACCATCACAGATTATCCAAGAGTTGATTTCTATTGAAAGCAATACAATTCAAGTGCTGAATTAAAAGCAGGTTTAAAGTAATCCCCTATCCAGAGAAGCTCTTTTAACTTATATAACAGTAATGACCAAACCAGGGAAAGACCCTTCTCTTTGTTCAAATTATAGGCCCATCTCCCTATTAAACACGGACACAATTTTTCCAAACTCTTAACTTCCAGACTGCAAGACCTTATTGCATCCATAGTTCACCCTGATCAAACTAGCCTCAGAGTAGGTCGAAATGCAAGAGATAACACTGTTAGAGCCCCCATTATTCGGCACTGGGCAAGGCAAGGGCCAGAAAAAGTACCCGGGGTGTGGAAATTTTTGAAAGAACTACTTGTCCAGGGACTGAATCTACTTGTTTCTCATGACATCCTACTTGTCCTGGTAAGAAAAATTTTTTTTTAACCAAAACCATATTTAAATTGGTGGTGATTTTAGGAATGTCTGGGGCTTTTAAAAACAAAAGGGGCTTTATTGCGACTTAAATGTGTAATATTTTTAACATTGTGCTGTTTATCTCCTCCTCCCCTCCCTGCCTGTCTCCAGCACCGCAACTTTATCCCTTTCACTGCCATAGCCATTGTTGCGTTTTCGCTGCCAGAGCCATTTTTGCGTTTTTTTGCACACGTTTAAAAAATCATATTAAGCCTGATGATTACATAACACCCCCAAACATTATATATTTTCTGAAAGCAGAGACCCTACAGAATAAAACAGTGGTAGTTCCAATTTTAATATCGCATGATTTTACCGCAAAATTTTAGTAAAAAATACAAGTAAGTTCATTTTAGGGCACAAAAAAAGCAATAAATTACCCTACTTTTTTGTAAAATATAAAAGATGAGGTTGCAGCTAGTAAATAGATATCCAACTGGTCAAACCTTAAATTTGCGATGAACTTCAGTACCCTATATTTTCTATATGTTGACACATTTAAAGCTCCTTATAGGTCACCAGTATAGTGTACGGAGGAGGCCTGGTGCTAGAATTATCGCTCACATCCTGGCGTGCGCGGCGATATGTGACAGGAGTATCGCAATCGCCGGTTTCATGGGTCGGCGCCCCAGCGTGTGCTTTTACGTTTGTACGTGCATATATGTGGGGGTGGAGGCCTAAATATTTTTATTGGGGAGGATGGTATGTGCTTGGGTGTAACTTTCATTTTTTTACAATAAAAAAAAAAAAAACTTGCTTTTTTTTCATCATATAGGGGACAAAGTCCCCTATGTGATGATTTTTGGGTAACAGGTTCTCTTTGAGACATCTAAGGTCTAAAAGACCCTGCATGTCTCCCCTTTGCTCCACTGAATGTAATGTGGTGCACATCTGCACCATATTACATTCATTCCTGGGGATTGTATTGCAATCTGTCATCAGGGACCCGGAAGTGACATCGTAATGTCACTTCCAGGTCAGCACAAGAAGAGGAGGGGAGCGGACATGTCCGCTCTTCTTCCCCCCCTCTAGCCGATGGCGAGCCGGTCCCGCAGATGGGCAAGTGGAGCCCGGGGGTGGGGGCGCAGAGAGGCTGGTACTGTGTGGAAGCAATCGCCGGCAGCGCTGCCGTCGATTGCATCCACCTGACAGGTGAGCCCGCTGCTTGCTCGCAACAGGGCTAAAGGAGGAAAAAAACTACTTGCCCGGCACCCGGAACTACATGTGCCGGGCGTTGGGCGATAGGAGATTCAACATCCCTGAGTACCCTACCTGATATTCTCAAATGATGCAAAAAAAGCTTTTGACAGGTTGGTTGTATATGGAAGATTTGCTGTGAATGCTGGGCCTGGGTGAATAGATAACGTGTTGGATCCTTGCTTAGAAGATAGAAGGATATTAAAGGCATTCAAATAGGCGAAAAACTTTCCACTTGCACAGAAGATGTCTTATTTTATGT